AGTGTTTTAGTGAACCAGTCTCCTTGATTTTAAACAGTGCTCCGGTTGGCTAACACAGTAAATACTGACCAGTGATTCAGTAAACACATAGGGTGATATATAGATATGTAACTAAATAAACATAAACACAACTGTGAGATTAAAATATTTAAACTTATGTATGCTATATAATAAAAACCCAAACTAATTATATTCATTTCTATCTAAAAATAAAAATCACCCTAACAGACACAGAGAATAACACAGAGAATGAGTTTTGCGCACTGCTCTAAGTGGGCGTGTTTGTGGAAATCCAACTTCCCACACGAATTTCCCCGTAGGGTTTAAGAGACAGCGGATTATTCTCAAATCAGAAGGAAGAAGGAAACAGCTAATGAAAATACAGTCTGCTGTTGAATGACCTGCAGGTAAGAATGAACTGATACACCACAGTTCAGAGATGCACAACTCTAAAACTTAACTCGTAACAATACTACTAATAGAGTTAGCGCAAGTTATGGGCATTTCATTATCTATCTACATGTGATTTTTTTTTTATTTGTATGCGAGAACTTTTATTTTTAGGTGTTTTTCTAAATGTAAACATTAATTCGGTCGGTTTTCACCTTTTCGCCAAGGGTTTGAATGTAGCTCTGAAGCCTGACGAGCGATAACCTGCAGCTATGTCACCTAACTTTGTGAGTCTGTTGTAAACATGATCACTATGGGTTTTCTCTAAGAACTTCAAGTGTGCATGATGCTTGGGTTAACTGATATTAATTTATTTCACCTGTCCTGTCACCAGAGTTAGTCATCTGTAACACATTGCTCGCGTTCAAAGGCATGTATTCTTCTGCAGAACTGCAGTCATTTTCAGGAAAGCACCGCGGAATATGACTAATCATGTGCTTATTGTCACACAACAGTTTGCTCAATAAACCACTTAAATATTAACTCAAAAGAGAATTTGTTTACAAAGAACTGAATCTGTGTAGGAGGGGGAGAGAGAGTTTCAGAATTAAACAACAGCACTCTTATGCTATTTCTTTTTTCTATATCAAGACTAAATACACAGGAAAGCATCTACTTCGCAGCACAGCTGAGTCATGCTTAGACGGGAAATAACAAAGTACATGTGATTTGTGGTTTTTGTCTCATGGTCATATAACCTATAATGTTTTTGTGTGAATTCATGCTGTGGAGTTCACATCTGGCCATCTTCAGTAGAGTGACTAGTGTTGCCAAAAAGTACATGCCAAAAAGATTACAACATCTGTGAAACAACATGCTTGTGTTTATTCCTTAGGTCTAAATGGACTGGGCCCTTGTTATAGTTTTGCAACTCATGTTTCAACCATCTCTCTCAGGTTTGTAATGTAAAGTGTGTAACACTGGAGACATGTATGAGTAAAGAAATGAAACAGGACAGAACTTGTATCCAAAGAAAATTTTTCTATTTGTATTTGACACACTGCGAACTAAACGTTGTAAAACCATCTAGTGAGCATAGTTTGATGTTTCATGGTTGTGGAATGTACATGAATCTTGACACTACTTTGGATTCTTCCCCTGCAGTTTTGTTCACTGTTCAGGCAGAGAGATCCACATACGAGTCAGAGTTTGGCGGAGATGTTGTGATGGGCTGCAGGTTTCAGCCTAAACTATCAAACCCTGCTCTGAAGGTGGTCTGGACCAGGATCAACACGGGCCAGTCTTTGGAAGTGTACCGTATGGGTAACGGGGTGGAGCAGTCGGTGTCTCCGGACTATCTTGGACGGGTAAAGATTCTCACTGAGGAGTTCCAGGAAGGCTGGGCCAAGTTAAAGGTCATTACTGGCAGTTATGTGTGCACATTTACATAATATCTGTAAGAACAATAAGGGGTTATTTTCTGTAAATTCCTCTGTGTAATGTGGTAAACCTGGCTACATCCACTAGCTTCTTTTAATGTTTGAGGGTCAGCTTTCCCACTGATTATATAAAACAGGGTGGAGCATTTCCTTAGAAATTTTACTGGATTCTTTTCTCTTGTAAAAGTATCACATTTCTCCAGAAATTCATAACTGCATTCACAGTGTGGGATCAGACACTAAGGTACAAAGGTGCCGTCTTCTTCTTATGTTACTTAGATCTCCGGGCTCAGGATCAATGACTCTGGGATCTACAAGTGTTTGGTGGACACAACAGAAGGAGCTGACTATAAATCTATAACTTTGTCTGTTAAAGGTAAGTACTGAGTCTGTGACAGTGTATCAGTGTAACGTTTTTGGTTTTCAGGCAACACTTCAGGGGCTCTGTTCTGAGAATGCTCTTGCACAATGGCCATCAGAGTATTACTTATTGTGAATGTGAAACTCAAACCAGTATTACTCAATTTGGTAGAAATGGTTTTATTTCTTATTTAAATATTGAAGATCTTCCTCTTCTGAATATTGTGCAAGACTGTATATGTTTATTCTTCCTATTTGATTCCCCCCTAGCGCCTTATAAAGCAGTGACTAAACGCATTGAGAAGGTTGCTGAGGGGGATGGGGTGCTGCTAACCTGTCAATCTGAGGGATACCCTGAGCCACCTGTTGTGTGGATGGATGGGCATCTGCAGAGACTTGACCCCAACACAACTGCAGAATCAACACCAAACCAACTTTTTAAAGTCACCAGTCAAATACACGTCAGCTCATTGGACAAAAACAACTACACATGTAATTTTACAAATGAGCTCTCTGCAACATTTCATATTCCAGGTAAGTGTTTTATTTCCTTAGTCAGCGCTCTACTGCTCAAAAATTGCATAAAGAGAAAACGAACCAAGTTAGAAGCAAGTAAAGAGAATGTGCATTTGCGTCACTGCACATTTTCTGTGAAGGAAACTGAAGCAGAAATGTTCAAATGTGACGTTGTATCCTGTCATAAAAAATGCAGCTTGCATGGAAAGGTTACAGGTAGGCTCACAGATAAACAATGTTCTGATCTGTTAACAGGAAATAATGCATCACTTATGTAGTCTTGAATATCTACTGTTTTCTGTTATTTTCCTTTTGACAGAGGTGTCAGCCCACATCAAATATGATTATATAGCAAAGAGGAAATTTATTCTGTGTGAGCATTTCATCTCCTGCCCACAGTTTTTCCGGAGTTACAAGACTTTACTTTGTTTATCAGTGAGGCAGTAGGTAGTATTTCAGCTTTGGATGTTTAGCTGTGTGTAGGAGTTCTGTTACAATAAGGTTTTGTCATTTAGGCAGTTTTTGCTTGTACTGTATGCAAATTATTACGTATGTGTATTTTAATGGAAAATAAAAGAGAATGGGCTGTAAACAGGACAACAAAAAGAAGGAAAGTAAAAGACTGGACAACTGCACAACTAATCAAGAAATAATGACACAGTCATGAGTCACTATACATGTTTTAAAGTTCTTAACTAGTAAGGGGAAGTTAGCAGTGGTTGTCTTTGGTTATTTCCTTAGTGGTCATAGGGGCCAACACTGGCCATGTCACTGCTGACTTACAGCATACAATAAGTCTGATACTGTATGTTCTGTGACACAGTTAAACACTAATCCTTCACTTTTTTCACAGATGAAATACCCACTCCACATGTGAAAAACGATTCTTTCATCATTGTGTTGAGCATCAGCGTGGTAATGGCTGTTATCATCATTGCGGTGCTCATGTATCGACGACGAAAAGGTAGCCATTCACTCAGATCTTTTATATATACAGTACATTATAGCTGCTCAACACATTTGGGATGTGTAGCTTACAGTAAACAGCAGTACACAGAATGCAGGTGTAGACTGGAGTAAAAAAATGATCACAGTCAGAATAATCTGATGTCTAATAAAATCTACATCAAATAGAAATTTGTATTTGGCACTGGCAAATGAAACAATGCATCATAATTCTACATGCAGCAATAGTGAAATATTAAAGTGATATATGGCAGCAATACAAATAACAATATGTACAATCCACAGTGACAGACAACAATAGATACATATCCAATGAACAATTAAACACATGAGCCAGTAATCCTTCAAACAAAACATTCTATTCACAGCCAAAAGGCAGGACCAGACAGGTATACTGTGGACTTCCCAGATTTGCCTTTAGGGTGTACAGTGAAAGAGCATTTGCAGGAAATAAGATTGGATGATAGACTTGGTTGCTGGCAGGCCAAGTTAGTCAGTTTATATAAATACTTCCTTCTTGTAAGTGTTCAGACTGGTTTATTTTTAACTGCCTCAGTGCAGTAAAAAAAAAAATACATTAAATATACAAGGATTTGGGGCAGAGAAGAACCTTTTAATAGCACTAATTGAACTAGAATAACTTTATTGTCCAACTAGAAGGGAAGACACTGAACTGCAGAGACTGCAGTTTCACATCAAACAACTTACAATAGAGCTAAACCCATTATCTGTCCTGTGGCAAAGCCATGGCAGCCAAGCAGGTGAACCTTTTTGTTTTTGTCAAATGGGCAATGTGCCCTGTCAGCAAATAATGAACTCATTTAAAGTGTGAACTCCCGTACAGATGGTGACATGTTGAAACAGGCCACAGTGCCACTGAAAAGAGGAAGTAGAATATTTAGGTGTTTATATGCTTGACTTGCACTGTAATATTTACCAAACACCTTTGAGGGAATTTGGCCTGCATGTGACTCGCTGCGCCTTATAAGCATGACACATCTTTTTTTTGACTGAAATTTGGGCCAATCACTCAGTGGAAACACCCAGTCTGGTCTTGGTTTGTGTGCCAGGGGAATTTGCCGCTATTTGTACATGTTTGCATAATCCCCCCCCAAATTAACACCTCCATCATTTCAATAGAAGACTTATCACTCACGCCTCCTTATATGAATGTGTGAAAACATGATTAAAAAAAACAAGCTTACTTCAGTTACTGGCCCGGAAACCTTTGGTTGACTGTTCTAAACTGGTCTCAGGAAAAACGGAACCTTCATAAGTTGCTCTGCAAAAAACATAATAATAATAATAATCATCATATTTGACAAACTGACAAACAAACAAACATATATAATGACTTCCATCCTTGAATTATCCTTGCATAGCACCAGCACTCTAAATTAATAGCAGTTTTTTTTTTTTTTTAGGGTTCAGCACTCTCAGCACTGGGAACCTTCTGGTCGATGGGCAGGGCAGGCCGGCTTCCCCTGCCTGTAGGTCTAAACAGTGTCTCTTTGATTTTTACTGAGTGTCTTTTTTACTGATGACTGTAACTGATTCCTACAGAAGTGTTAGTGTTACCTCCAAAATACTCTTTGTATCCCCATTGAACCATAGGTGCCAGTTCTTGAGAGGTCTAATATATTGTCAGTTTAGGATAATGCTCTGCAGATAATACAGAAGGATTATGTGACACTTTGCATTTCTCATTGCTCCTTTTGAAAGGCTGAGCTCCCAATTGGCTACACAGCCATAGGCTGTGAACACAGTTCTACCTGACATAGTGGCTCAAGCTGTAGCTATTTGGTGCTATGGAGGCTGTACTATGACTGTTCTTTACTGCTCACATTAAAGTTAGCTGAGACAGCATTTTTAAGTGACCACTCAAGGTTCAAACTATCAGCTGTGATACACATGTTAGTAACACATCCCAAGAATAGCTCCACTGCAATGCTTATCAGTTCATTGCACACTCACAGCCATTAAAAATGAAATTTTCACAGCCTGGCACTCATAAGCCATGGTTACAGTCAGAATAGCATGCCACAGTCACCAGCTACATTTAGTCTCAGTCAGAAGCCAGTCATAGCACAGTGTAGAGAAGTAGCTTAACTATCCTCCATTAGTGTAGTAAGCTGTAGCTATCTCAATATTGGCTTTAAAGAAAAACCTCAGTGTGACCCCTTAAAGGACTTTGTAGTCTACTTTTGTCACAAAGCACTTTTGGAAAGCGCTACTTGAACCAAATACCTAAAAGAAATTGGAACCTATGAGCAGAAAAGGTGTTCTCCAAGTCTCTGCTGAGTTTGGGGAAATGCTGATGATGCATTTGTGAAATACTGATGCAGTGCATGAAGGATGTAAAGACACCCACAGTTTCTGTCATGAAGAAGGCTGAGTTCATACATTTAAGGGTATCCTTAACTGTCATCTCAGTTTCTCCCTCCACCATGATGATTCATTTCACAAATTTCATCAATTCATTGCTTTCCTGGCTGTGCCACATCTTTCTTGATAGGCTGCAGTACCAATGTGCAGCAGTTTTCTGATGGAATATGACTTAATAAATTATATCTAGTGTGGCTAAACTGTAAAAAGTCTAAAGGTGGTGTTACAGTAGCGCCTAGAGGTGTGCTACTTGTGACAATGGTGGTTTAGCCAAATCTTAGAATGTGAACTCAGCCAAGAAACACTGGTTAACTAGTTAATAATTTTGCAAACACTTCTTTCCTAGGTGTTAGTTTTCCTAACAGTGCTTTCCTTTCCAACATGGATACAAATAAATAAGGAAAATGAGGATGAGAGAACTGTTTTTAATGATGTTAGGTGTTTTCTTTCTTTGTGTTCTACTAAACTGTCTACTGAAAACAGGATTAGGGCAAAAGTGTTCTTAGATGTTAAGACACCCTCAAGATGCCTGCACAATTTTGAACAAGCTTTTGAGAAAAGACAAGTTCAGTAAGACAGCTTCTTTTGTATTCTGCAGTTATAATAGCATTAGGCCATACTGCCTCTCAAGCAATTTTCTGTGCAAGACAGAAAAATTAAAGAGAATTTATTTGATTGATATGATCATGATCATGTCTGTTCTAATGTCTACAGATTGTATGGAGGAAAATTTAGGGGCCTTTCTGAAAGCCCTCTATTGTAACTTCAGCGCAGAGGCGAGGAACCACTGGAATACTTTTTGTGTCGAGGAGCTGCCTCATAGGCTGGAAAACAAGTGAGTAACAAAGTCGCCTACTTCCCTATTCTCATTTTGAGGTACAGAGACAAATCGAGTTACCGCCAACTTCCTTTGATCCTTCCCTGAAAAGAATTAGACAATCCGCTTTTTAACTTTTATATTTTAGGATGTCCAACTTCTTGTTTCTACAGAAACTAGATGTTTTCTCTCCATTTGAACCCATTTTGATCTAATTGCTCCATTCTCTTAAAAAAACTGATCACATTATCCCTTATTCACTCATTTGACATGATCCCAACCTGCATCTCCACTGTGATTTGCTTTCTCTCTGAAGGATCTTTCCCAAGCACTTTGTGGTGTTCTCACTGGTTAAAAACTTTCTAAGGGGAACATACTAGGACTAGACAGCTCTTGTCTCTACTGTTCCTTTACTCTTTCATTTTAATTAATCTGGAGTTAGTAAAGCTGGGAAGAAGTTCTCTATGCTGGCTAGCTTGCTGTCAGCTACACCATCTCCCTTCAGTCAAGCAAATTATCATGTCAGAGTTCACCAACATTGAAACTGATGTTAAAAATCTGGAGAGATTTACTTGGCTACTTTGAAGCAAATCCAAATTTTGCTGTTGCAAATGCTTTACAGTTTCAACTCTGCTTGTGTTTTTTCAGTGAGGGTCAACCTGTGAATCTTCAAGCTGTACTTCCAGAAGCTGGACAGACACTTTTTCTCGAGGGACCCCCAGGAAGCGGGAAGACAGCCCTATCCTACATTTTGGTCTCTTCTTGGACTGAAGGGCCCACACACTCCTTCTCTAATCCCCTTGATCTCAACGCCCTTCAACTTCTTTTATATGTCGACTGCACCTTCGTGAAGGGTGATTTGTTTCAGGAAATTATGGCCCAACTTTCTCTCAGGGAAAAGATAACAGAGGATGAACTAAGGACTGTGTTAATCAGGTCCAGTGAGGCTCTGTTGTTGTTGGATGGGTATAAAGAAGGAAACCACCTTTTTGATGAGTCCCTAAGGCAGTTCCTAAGCGAAAGATGTGGATGCAGGGTGCTGGTCATGGCCTGCCCGGATCACTGCCCCACACTCAAGGAGACAGTTGGGACATTAACGGTGCTGAAGCTTCAAACACAAACAGTGAAATACTGAAGCCACAAGACTTTGTGCATAACAAACACATTTGTTACATTGTAAATAAATGTGTGTGTTGTGTTTTTTAGAATTTATGTTACCGTTATCCAATATGTGGTCAGATTTTTCATAATTTGCAAGTGAATGTAATATTTTGTATATATAAGAGATGCAGTAAATTTTGATTTTGTATTCTTTACTTGTCAGTCATGATTGTCCCTTTGACTAAAATCTTGCATGTAATAACTATTTTAAACAAGATTTTTAAAAAGAAAGTACATAATTTACTGGACCCCATACAGTAAGGATGAAGAAAGGCTGTAATCCACCTTAACTGTGATTGCACTATTTACGAAACCCATCAGAGGGATTTTAACCATGCTCTCTACTTCTAATAGATGACACAACTTAGGCACTTTACTAATGATTGCAGTCCTTTCGGTTTCTCTTCTGGGTCTGTGCACAACAAGCAAGCAACCAAGCAAGCAAAGTTTATTTATAGCAGTATAGCAGTATTACCTTCATCCACAGTAAACACAAGATCATTAAATACTCGCAACAGCGCTGATTCGATACTGTGGTGTGTCTTAAAACCAGACTGGAACTTTTCAAATATGCCATTATTCTCTAAAAAAGTCTGTAACTGTATAAAAATCGTTTCCTCAAGAAAAAGAAAGGTCATTATCAGGGTTATTTTCAAGGCGGCAACAGTTGCTGTGCTGTGAGTAAAAGGGGAAGTGACCCTATCTCTATTCCTGGCAAGAGACTTTATTGCTTCCAGTAATGTATGGGGAAAAGGGTCATCATTTTATTTCTGCATGTTCTTTTTTTCTCTGGCAATGATGGCTTCTTACATCTGATGCTGCTGCTTTTGCTCAGGAACCATGTGAACAGCAGTGATCAACATGCTGTTATTTCCTTCTTCGCATTCTTCAAAGTCTTTCTGGATGAGATAATTGAACTGCCCCTGCGGAAGGTGTGGGTTATCCTTTTTCATTCACTCATTGTTAGTAATTTTGCTTAACATGAGTTCAGGATTGCACTATCTATATATGTTACACGCAACAACAGGCGGTCATACATTTTATTTATACAGGATAAGTTGACTGAGTATCTGTGCTCATTTACAGCAACGGCCTGTTTACAATTAAAAGTTACAGAAAGAGAAAAAACTAACACAACAACATTAAACTAAACAGCATTAATGAAAGCAATGACAAACAGGAAGAAAGTGATTATTGAGAGTTATCTTGAAATTAGAGAGAGCTGTGTGTTTTCATTTTTAACTGATGCTGCAGATTATTCCATGAGACTGCAACACTGACAGCAAATGCAACCTTTCCTGACCCAGTGCTGGTCTTAGGCACCTGAAGTGTAATTACTGTACAAGAGCGAGCTGAGTAAGGTCCATATTGCCAGTGCAGAAGGGATAAAATTTATTGTAAGAGGGCAGTTTTCTACTGATGACCTTGTAAACAAATATGTACCAATGTTTCTGACGTCTATCAGACAAGGAGGGCCAGCCAATTACAGCCCCGTAATCCAGAACTAAGAGGAAAGCTGCTTCATGAATCCTTTTCTGCAAGGAATGCCAAGAATATCTGGGACATTCAAGACTACTGTATATATTAATACATAACCATTCTCCTCAGCTGTACAGCAATCCATAGGGCCTCAGGTGCTACACAACCATTAAAGGTAACTACAACAGGCTAGAATTAGTGGATGCCAGGAGCTTGTCTTGCCACCATAAATACAGGACAAACCCATTAGATTGTTTGTGGTGATTGTTTCATATTATGATACTGTAGTATGCACAAAGTTCACCCGAGCTCCTTAAGCACACTGCCTGAAGTGGAAAACTCTCATGTCCCCAGGCTTCTTCAATCAGTCAGATACAAAAGTCAACAAATTCCTTTCACATATGTCACTTTAATGTTATTACATTAACGGGTGCAAGCCACAAGGAGCTCATTTGAAATCTAACAGCCACTGAAAAAAGAAAAGCAACACACTTCCACATTAGACCACCTTTAAACTGACATAACTGCCAGTAACTCAACTTTTTTGGTTAAGAAATAACACACACAAATTACACAAATTTACAGCTAACTGTGGCAGCGTTAACAATGCACTAATTTGTATCTCTAGCACTATACATAAATATGCAATAAAGCATTGATTTTTGAAATAAACAATAAATAAATTATGCAGGTTTCGTAAAATTACAGCCTTAACAGGGATTACACCTCTATACTGTGTTGATACTGTTGAAATATCCACTCACTAATGTTAGATTATCATGTGCTATTGTTTTGTTTTTAACTGACTTCCCCCATCAGCTGTTGCATTTAAATAATTTATTAAGTTCCCCCTACTAGTACCTCAGTACTAATGCTGCAGGAACTGCTTGTGCATTGTTGTGTTTACTCTGAGAGTTTCTGCTTTGCTCAGCATGTTAATTATGATATTGTTATGCCGGTAGGCTAGTGGTCAAGGCAGCGCTCTCGCCGCTGCGCCCCGGGTTCGAATCCAGATTGCGTCAGGAAGCGCATCCGGTATAAAACACGTGCCAAATGTCAACAAGCGAGCCGTCAGTGTGACGAGTCGCTGTGGCGACCCCTAAACGGGAAATTCCGAGAGTGACTCTCTGTGATGGGTGCACCATCTGTCCCTCGGTTTCTTCACGTGACACAGTGGGAAGTTTATTACAGTTGTATCTGGGAAGCCTGTCAGTCAGCATTGCACGACGTGGAACAGGAAGATGGCTTCTCTTAAAAGAGCCAATTCATGAAATACCCGTTACATTAAAAAAAAAAAAAAAAACCTTACAGTATATTTCATCAAACATTTTTTCTTGACCTAAATCAACACAGTGCCAGCCAAAACCCTGATATCTCATTTCTCATACAAACACAATGCACCATAATCACAGGAGTTATAACATTATCACAAATGGCTTAAACAGCATATCTTGGCCACAGTGGTTATTGTGAATACTACAGATTTGAGGATTACTGTAAGAAATTAATTTCATGGGGAATACCAGAAGTGTCATGACTAGGTATACAGACAGAGGAGAAGTGGTTAATGATGGTTTCACAAGTTTCTGCTGAGTTTGCACGCACATATCTGTATTGCAAAACCTCTATAAACTAGAGAGCTGGCTTACATTGTGCAATGTTTTTATCTGTAGACGTTCTGAAGACCATGATACTCAAACATCCTGTTTTTGGTGTTGTACAGAAAGTGAATACAGCACTTTCACTTTTCCATTTAAAGAAGACTGTACTGTGAACTCTAGTCGCATCCCAACACCCTCTTTTAGTTGAGCACAATGTTCTTTAGCTTCACGTTTATATATATTTTTATCATGCTGCTATTGAAATTTCACATAAACAGTACTACCAGCCTTTAACAGCCACCTTTAAGGTCTTTCCTATGAAAAAAAGAAAAAAAAATCTAAGAAGTATTACTTTAATCAGCTTCATCAGTTGTATTATAATAACCGCAAGCACTTTTTTCCAACAGGAAAATGTAGTTTCCCTCCCTGCACATGATAGTGTCACTAGATGGTGCCATCCTCCTTTTCCTGCAAACTTACTGTGAACACTAGGTTTCTGATATCAGCTGATAATGAATCAGATAAATGAAGTTTACTTATGTGGGTATCTTAGGAATTAAAAGGCCATTAAGGAAAAATTTAAACACACACAAAAAATTATCTATTTGTTGATGTCTTTCTTTTTGCTTCCTATCCTGTATTAAAAAATGTCAGCTATGTGGTCTCAGTGAGACCGTTGCTCCCTCTTATATAAACACAGATAGATGGGTGACTACAAAAATCTCTTTTACAGGAGTGTTCTGGCCAAAATAACAGAAGCACATAAACACGAGTGCAGCTTTTAACTTTTTCTTTTCATGCCTTTTCCTTCTGCTTGAGTATAATTTTCTTTGGAGCAGAGACAAATCTATTATAAAGCTTTTCTGTGCCAAAAATAATCTGACAAAATAGTTCGATCATCCATTCACTCCAAGAAAAATGGTTCACACTGAAACTCAACTCCCCAAAAATAGCTGATGCTATGCCCCATACCCATCACTCCCACCAGCCTTCACAAAAGTGCACCCCCAGACACACACAGTCAAAATGAGAGTTAACCCCATCAAAAAAACGACAATCTCCTGCATGCGTGTGACCCCCATTTCCTCTTCCAACTTCAACCTACCAGACCAAAAAAGGTGGATTCATCATTTGGTAATTAATATTCTACGGAAGAGTGGAACATCAGGAAACAATTATTCAATAATACATGGACATAAATGCAGACTGAGTCCACACAAAAACACAAGCATGCACAAGCACATATATATCACCATGATGGGCTCTTCCTCTCTTTCAAGATCAGGTTACTCACCTACATTTAACACAATGTGCTGGATGGAGGAGGATATCTTGCAGTTGAAATATTCAAGATGCTGGCTTACACATGAATTTTGCCTTCTATAGTTTTTCCCCACTGTGGTGTAGGAATGACTGTTGTCAAAGTCTAGTATAATTTCTGTTCTTATGCAAATATTAGTCTATCACAGGGCAGGTTTTAGAAATCAGCATACACTGATACAATACATCTGATAGCTGTGCCATTTAGTTTGCCAGTGTGTTTGTTTACATGAAATAAAGTAAATAGTCAGCAAGCTGTTGCAGCTGCCAAGGTTTCAAAAGGTGTGGGAGCATTAGAGATGAGCAGAGAGGGTTAGAGGTGCATGCAGTACGAGCATATGTGCCTTAGATGTGATATGACGAAAAATGGACAGTTTGACAAAATATGAAATTCAGTTAGGTTCAATTTAGTTTTATTTGTGTAGTGCCAAATCACACACACACACAAAATCATCTCAAAGCACTTTAAAGAAAAAGTCAACAAATCTTTCTTGAGCAAGAATGGGGAGGGGAACCCCCCCCCACCAAGCTCCATTTAATAGAAGAAACATCAGACAGAATAGTTTCCATCAAATCAAATACAATGCACACAAATCAGAGCACATACAAAGCTGCAGTATAAAACAGCATAAAATAAGAACACAGTAAAAGACAACCATTTTAAAATCAACACAAGTACAAAGAGTCATTAAGAACACTCAAAAGGCCACTGAGAAGCATGTC